ATGAAAATAAAGAATTGGGATTTTATCACCACCCGAGAAAAGTTTGTTGGGGGGGTCAATGGGTCAGGAAGCGCCGGGAGCTGGATGGGGGGCTGGGGAATTCTGGGAGTTGAAGTCCACACATCTTAAAGTTGCTGAGGTTGAGAAACACTGATATAGTGCACGGTCTCACCTTAACTACATATCTCTGGAGGGACCTTTAATCCTGGCTTGGCTGTTCTTGCAAAGGAAAAGATGCTTCGCATAGGCAGTGCTAAACTGAGGGTAATCGTAAGTGTAGCACAAAAATGTCATACTTTCTACAGAGAGATTTCCCCATTGGGTTACTAATTTTTCTGTTTTTGCAACTTTACATGCAGACAAATAGGGCCTGCAGCCTGTACAACATCTGTTGTTTTCATACAGAGAAAGGAGATTGGAAAGGGGAAAGGAGAGCAGAGATTGCTAGAATTTTTATCTTTCCTCAGTCATCAACTCTTGAAAAGGTCTTCAGGTTTCCTCAACTCTCAGTGGTGTTATTTATTGAAATGTTTATTCTTTCCTGCTTTGAGTCCAAACTTGGGCAGGTTCTAAATCTGTAGGCTTTCAGCCTTGAGTGAGTAATCCTCAGTCATGACTGTTTGGGTTGCAGTATGGAAAATGCCATTAAACTGTCTTACGAATCAGAAATGATGGTATTCTTAGCTGTATTTTTTCTCTCCATTCAGCTTTTGTCACTTGGGATTAAAAAGCACCAATGTATCAATTAAACAACGCCAGCGTTTTGTTATCCCACAGAAGCCTTTCCTGTTCCCTGCAGTGCTACAGATGTCAGGTGGGTGTTTTGCTTGTGCATTTTCAGTTCTGTGGGTGATTATAATGAAAATGCCTATGATTCTTTTGTAAAATGAATTCGTGACCAAAACACCGAATGATTACGTTTCAGTTCCACATTCCTCGTTTCTCACTAAGTTAGCAGAACTTCATCTTTGTGTGATGGGCAGGTATATTTGTCTCTGTCCTGTTCTCAGGTTTAAGGCCACTTTTGTTAAGCTTTTGTAAATCAAGAAAATAAGGCAATGAAAGAAGAACACAGGAGTCCTAATGTTTATCTACTTTTCTAGGTTGGATCGATATATTTCACTAAATCAGTATGTGGCTTTTGGGGTTAGCTTGTTCTGTGAACCTAGCCAATTGGGGCTTACTTAATCAACCCTGGTTAAACAAACTACACAGGTTTCTAACGTCTGCCCAATTTTATTTTTTAATATTCAGTATAAATAATAGTCATTACTTCTTTGCTTGGTGGGTTATCAATTATTTCAACCTGCCTGAAAAGTAACCAAATAAATACCTTAAATCTGCTTGCTCCATCAAACTTCAGGGTTGAGAGAGTGGGGTAGGTTCACGTATTTCATTAAACGGGTCAAGCAGTGCAGTGCCCCCACCCATACCTCCAAATCAAACTCTTCTTTTTTTAATGTCCAAAATCTTGCAATTTTGTGAAACCTTGTGAGAGCCTATGAAATGTTAGGTGTGAGTAACAGAATTTTGTGAAAGCTCAGTGCTATTGCACTAGGATGAGATCCTTAGTATCTTGTGCGATTTGAGGATCTTGTGCAGTGGAAAGCTTGCCGGCTCCTGTGCAAAAAGAAAAAAATGGTTCATCTGACAAGCTCCCACAAGTGGTCCAGATGTTTAAGTCATAAAGTGTGCCTTACAGATCCTAATGTCTAGGCTGCTGTAGCACCCTGTTGCTGGAGACCAAGACCTTAGAATTTCATTGCTCTCCTATCTTGCTTAGGAGCTCATGGATTTGTCTGACTGCTTCCTGGTGGGCAGAGAGAGCAGGAGTCAGTGAACCCAGCATGCTCTGATCCAGGCAAGGTGTATGACTATCTTCAAATACTTTTTTTTTCTTAATTTCAGTGAGGTCTATATTTATTCAGACGCAGGACACTCCAAATCCAAACAGCTTGAAGTTTATTCCAGGAAAGCCAGTCCTGGAATCCAGAACGATGGAATTCCTATCGCCTGCTTCCACCTACTGCTCTCCTTTAGCAAGGTTTGGAGGGGGCTGCATATAGTGTGGTGTTGATTTGGAAATATGCCCCAATCAGATGTATTATTAGGGGAAAAGATACCCTGGACTGCAGTTGGAGGCACCAAAATCTGAGGATATTTTAGCCCATGTATTATGTCTTGGAAAGGGGTGGAAATCAGAGAAGGAGGGCTTTCCTCTCAGAGGACTTTGAAAAAGTGGATTGTGATTTAAGTTAAATCTCATTGATAACAGTGAGAAATAAGAGCGACTTAATTCTCTTTGAAATCTTTGGGGATGGGTGATTTTCGGTCTGATTTTTAGCTGATAGTTGTGTTCAGACCTTTTCTGTATGACAGAGGATCACGCAAATGAGTTCTTCCTCCCAGCCCTTCTCTGTAGTAAAGCATCCTCTCCTAGGGGTGTTTTGTTGAGCAGAAGGGACCGGGGGAGGGGATGTTGTTCAATGCAGCTGCAGTGTTAATATGTACTTTCTCCTTGTGTGCAATTATCACAGTCCCGGATGTTCGTATTTTGAGACAAAGGCCATGTGCATAATTATCAGGCATGTGAGAGATTTACGAATCAGTCTTCCAAATTAGTCCACAATTGTCTGTTCATACGTAGGATATGCTAGTTGTTTGAGGGTCCACAATAAGACTCATCTCTATTTACAAACTTTTTCTAACTCGGAAGTGATTGTTACTAGCACAGGTTCTGGATTAAATATAAAGCAGAAAGAGTTTGATTTGCTGTGATGCATATGAAAATCCATCCATGTTTCTTGGAAAGATGATGCTAATGAATTTAAGGAATTAGGTTTTAGGATAACAGTGGTAGAAAAACTGTAGTCATGAAGCAACAAACATGCACATATGAACCAATTTGAAGAAACAAAGTCTTCGTTTTCTTTCCTTTTCTGGTTAGACAGCTCTTTCGGATTGAAGGAGTTAAAAGTGTATTTTTTGGAACAGACTTCATCACCGTCACAAAGGTAAGTCTAAAATCAATATGCACAAGCCCGATAAAGATAATAGTATTCTGTTTCTAAATTATTAGCTATATAGTGGATATTTTTTCTCAGTATGCTGCAGAATTAGAACACAGCGATGGCTTATATCAGTTTTTCACATGGTCCAATAACAAAGATTGGAATTCTGCTCTTTTGATTTACATGTCACCTTTCAATTCAAAAAGAGTATGCTTTTCATTTGTGAAATGTGCTGAGAATTTTTAAAAATGTCTATGAAAATTAAAACAGCACTGACCCATTACCTGTGAAAATGCATTTCCCATAAAATAAAAATAAATCTCCCGTAAAATTGAAATATAAAACAAGCACAGGCCCATTATGGTGCTCTGTCCTGCTGCAGGTGTGGCAAAGTCCAAGGCTTAGCATTTTTCTGTGTTGGTCTTTTGTGCATGAATTGAAAGTGGACACAGATAAACAGATTTCATAACACTTGGTAAACATTTATTCTGCCGTGGTGGAGGGTAATATTTTCCTAAAAAAAGAAATGAGTCCTACCGTTTAAGATTGGCCTGCATTTTAAGTCAGTAATTGTTTGACATTGAAAAGATTAGTTTTCATGTTTGTGTGTTGAATTAATTGACATTAGTAGGACGTGCATAGGACCAGGATGAGAGGGGCAACTTGAGATCCAAGAGTGACATGTATCCCCTCCCCTTTTGGAGTCTGCTGAAACCTCCTCCAGGCATAATTGATGAAAAATAGCAATGTCACTTCGGCTGTTAAAAGGGTAGGCCCCATGTACAAATCACACTTGACAGTTGTGGAAGCTCTGTGTGCATATTTACAAGCTCCTGGAGAGTCTGGCTGTTGATTTTACCCTGCTAGTAGGATTCCCGGAAAGATTTGTGTCCAGGAATAGGATAATATAAGGCTCTGGTTGAATCCTTTGTCCATGTTTACGGTCTGGTTTATTTATTTATTTTTTTATCTTCCTAGGAGAGCGAGGATGTGGACTGGAACTTGATAAAGCCTGACATCTATGCAACTATTATGGATTTCTATGCTTCAGGCTTGCCCGTTGTTACAGAGGAGGTTCCTCGCACAGACACAGGTACGTTGGCAAATACCGAGGCTGGCAACCGTGGGGAGCCACGCCCTTTGTGCTGCGCCAGGGCGGGGCTTCCGCCATTCCCCTGCCCCACCCGGCTTGCCAGTTTTGGCACTCTGTTAGAGCTACATGCAGAAGCATCCGCAGAAGGGTCAAAATCTGCAAGATGGCTGCTGCAGCGCTGCCATCGAAGCCCCGAGCCCTTTTTAAGTTCAGAAAGGACAGGGCTTCTGTCACAACACGTGCCCGCCGTTTTGCAGATTTTGACTGACACGCACACACCCACAGGATAAGGCTCATCTCTTTAGTGCGATCCAGTGAGGGCTCAGGGAATTTTCATGTTCTTCGTGAGGGCTCCCAGCAGCGTCTCTGGAGCTCTTATAGGATGAGATTCACAGAAGCGTGCTCGCTTGTTTGCCTTTTCTTGTGGCTATTGTTGTTTGGTTTCTTTTGGGCGCCTTTTCCTCATGGTTTTGGATTTGAGAGAGGCAAAGCCTTCCCTTCTTGGAACTTTTTTTTTTGGGGTGCCTTCAAGTCAGGCTTTTTTTTTTGGGACTCCTGGTGACTGCCTAGATAAATCCCTGCAATTTTCTTGGCAAGATTTCGGAAGTGATTTGCCATTGCCTCCTTCCCAGAGCTGAAAGAGAGGGACAGGCCCAAGGTCACCCAGCCGGCTTTGTGCCAGAGGTGGGACTAGAACTCAGGGTCTCCCCGTTTCTAGCCTGGTGCCTTGACCGCGACACCCAACTGGCTCTCTTGGAACATTAGGCCTGCATAAAGGAAGGTGCGTCCCCCGCGGGCAAATGGTTCTTGATGACGCTTCTAACAGAACTCTCTTTAGCTCAGGAGGAATAGGACCAAGGCTGCGTCCCACAGGTCTAATCTTGGCCGGGGCTATAAAAGTACAGTAAAACCTCAATTCAAGGGACCATTGGGTGGAGGGGTGCCTGTTGCTCAGGAATGTCTGTTAAATCCAAAAGTAAGTCATTTGTTGCAATTCTGTCATTTGCATAATCACATCATTATTCAAATTACACAGAATTTGACAGATCAATATGTCATTTGCATAATGCCATTTGCCTGTTGTTATTTCGCATCTAAGGGAGGATTAGAACCGGAGTCTCCTTACTCAGATGATGCCAATTGATGGAAATGATGCCAGTTGAGCGTGAATTAATGTAAATGCCTGGTTCTGGCTGCAGTGTTCCCTACTCCATGTGGGGTGGCTGTGAAGTTTGATTTGGTTGCATCTCAGGCATTTTCAGTGGTGCACTGACTTCCTGTATTTGCTAGAAGTATTTGATAAGGTAGTATTTTAATTACTCTTTGCCAAATGAGATAAACATGATTCATTGTTTCCGTTTTGTATAAACCACTGAAGCTCCATCTGAAGAAGATGATGAAGTCGTATTAATGATAAAGGAGCTGCTGGATACCAGAATCAGGTACGCTTGTCTGGGAGTTGAAATCCACACATCTTAAAGTTGCCAAGTTTGAAAAAACACTGGTATAAAGCATTTTTGAAAAGGTTGGTTCATAAGGGTGGCAGGTTTTTTTTCACTCTTGACTAGACTTTGCGAATGAGCTTAGGAGTCAGGTTGGGAAATACAGTTTGATAATTGAAAACCATGTTTTCTTCAAGTTTCTTCTATGATATAAAACCACCAAAAAGAAGTGACAGTAAATATGTCTAAAATGCAAGAAAGGGTTATTCATTTAAAAGAGTGGCGTTAATAAGAGGCCTGTGCAAGTCTTTCAGAAGTGTTTTCTTCTGGGAGCATGTAGGAAGCATTTTCTTTTTCAAGTTCTTAAACCAGACCTCTCCAGCTTCAGTATTCACCCCCCGAGGTCCTTGGATCCTTGGTGGCCCTGGCCTATATTTCTGTTACTGAAAACTAGCTTGGTATGTCATAAGACAGCCCTCATCCATGATCTTTGTGTGGGATGCTTGTTTTGTGAAATTGTGTTGTTATTTTTCCCAGACATTTTTCTTGGTATTGTATTGTTTTAAACTCTTATATCGTACGCTGTGCAGAGTTGCAATGGAGTTGGGTGGCTATAAATGTAATAATAAATGTTGTTCTCCTTATATATTGAACCTTATTACTCAGGTCCCAAATATTTTAGTTAAATTGCATGGTGTTCAGTAAAAAGTTAACCAGAAGATCATCAGAGGAATTCTTTATATTCATATTCTGGTGCTTCTGTCAACATTCCTACTGGAGCATTTCCAGGATTTTAAATGTGGCGATCTTGCAAATAGAACATTCATTATTACTTTCAAAGGCCAGAGAAGGCTCTTTTTTTCATTGCAATGGAGTTACTGCTTTCTTGAAGGAGTCTTTAACTCCGTACATTCATTTTTCAACTTCTGACAGCTGAGTTGATGTGTTCGGCATTCATGGGTGATAAAAGTGGAGGTAAACATGAGGTTTGCCAAGTTAATCCATGAATCCATTACAGATGCAAATGGGTATCAAAAGTCCTGTGTATAAAGTCGAGTTACAATTTTTGCATTCATTTTACACATTGGAGAGAAGGATATCCTCTGGGATTCAGTCCCTGCAGTATTTCAATTTTCAGAAAAAAGATGGAGTTTGAACAAAGAAGGAGTTTTACTTTCCCTGAATAACCAAGGAAGACGATTCTATAAGGTGCTGTAAAAGTATTGGAATTAAGTAAAACAACAAAAACACTTACAAACTAATCTTAAAAGTTACTGTTTCTTGAGTTACAGAATTCAAGCCAGTGCATGAATTCGCACATACATCTAACTGGGTCAGCATGATTCTTTTCATCTGTTGCAGTAACATTTCCAAAAGCCAAGTAGGATTGAGTGGGGCCGATAGGAGAGCACATAACTGAGCCATTGCATACTCTCCAGTCCATCTCAGTCCAATTGGCACCGGCAGAATAAACATTGCAAACAGGGCACATTTATGCAAACTGATTAAATTTGCACAACTACATTTCAGTTGCCAGACTCTATTCTCATGAGGGCTGCATGGCTGACAACTTGCTCTGAAATCAACAGAGTATTCACAGCTTTGGCTCAGAAAAAGTCTTAAGGAAAATGTTGCTAATGCGGGGAGAAGTGGAAGGTGGCGTGATGCGCTGCAGGTTGCTCCAGGAATCAGCAGTACCACGTGGAAGGTACAGAAGTGGGTATGGAAAAAGAGGAGGACAAAGGAGCATGTGTTCGCTGGGAATCTGAGCTTCACTTTGAGATGCAATACAGCCGTTTGAGCATTTGCTCTCTGTAACACTATTTTGTCCACGACAC